GGGGGCTGGACTCGATGATCTTCCGAGGTCCCTTCCAGCCCTGATGTCTATGAAATCTATAAGGCCGTGATATGACAGATGCCTGATCTGGTGTGGATAGGGTTGCCACCTTTTATACCAGGGGTGGACAACTCAAGTATGTACCTGGGCTAAAGGTGATGTTGGCCAAAGCTAGGAGGGCTTTGCACAGCATGCCAAATTATTACTGGGGAATTTAAAGTGCCACGCAATATGCAGTGCACCAATTTTTTTGCCATAGTTTTGAGAGGTGGAAGGGGTGAGAGAGAGAGAGGAAAAGAGGGCAAGAGAGAGTGTTGGGGTACCCATGTACCCCCTCTGCCTGTGTCTCGCATACCCCCAGGGGTATGCATACCATAGGTTGAGAAACAATGGTACAGGCAACTATTACTATGGCTTTTCCTAAATTTAAAACTACCTAAAAAATGGCAAAGACAAGCAGCACAAGTAATACATACGAAACAAAATTTAAACTTTTCTAAAGATGTGTGTTCAAAGTCTATGGCTCTCTCCTGAGAATTGCAATGGGAATAGAACTTCTCTCTATGTTCTTATTTTTCTAGTTGCCAATTAGCAGGCAAATGGTAGCCGAGTTTCATGACTTTTCAAGCTACAATACAAATTAAACAACTAATTATGGAAAACACAAGAAATCTCCATCTTTTAACATTTGTTTGGATTATTTATACACAAATCAAATCAAAAGCAACAGCTTACACTACTGTGGCATTTTTTCTTGCCAAAACAATGAATTCCTTGAACTATCATTTAACATTGTAGTATGCTCTTATACAGTAACTGTGGAAGTACTGAAGTAATAAAAGAGTGGGTGAAAATATGAATACTGAACTCCACACATTTATTAATAGCTCAGCTAGTATTGTTTGCTCCAGGAATTATATTTAGTTTGAGCCCCAAAAGAGACAACAGAAGAAAATGCAGCATTTCAAGCCATTAAACCCACTATGATAAAGTTGCTGCCCTGGCTTAATGTGTAGTCTCATGATTGACCAGGTAGATACAAGACACTCAGTGACTTGGCTTTGCACTCTATCAAAGTTTAAGGATTGCAAGTCTTCAAAGCTGATCATTATTAGAAATCTGATTAGGTTTCTGGCAATTTTAAGAGCTAAGAAAGTCATTAACACAGCAGTTTAACTATCCCAACACAAGTGTTCATGGTTAGGCTGGAACAGTACTACTAATATTAGTTCTTACGCTATCACAGCATTTAAACACGTTTTATTTTGGGTATGACAGTTTGCCACAATTCATTAAGTAGAACTCCCCAGAGGTTTCACTACAAGTGCTTCACTGGCAGCAGAAGCAATCTGAGGAACTTAACTGGGACACTAGCTCCTCAGACAGCTTCGGTGACAAGTACCCCTCTTCTGACACTTGAAGCACTGGCCAAGGGAAAGGAGAAAGTAAATTTGTTTTGGAGCACGACCTGGCTCTAGAACAAGACCCTAAATCTCAACTGTTCAGATAGTTTCCCCTCCCTGACTAAAATCTGTAACGTTAAAACAAAGAAACCCAAGTCTAACAAATCACAACTGATCTAGAGTTGCATGCCTAGCTGGAAAGCTCAGCAGGTTTTCCCTATTCAGAGGAGAACACTTACCCATGATGTGGACTGTAGCAGGAGGCTCAGTGCTCCTGCAACTTTAAGAGGAGGTAGGCTGCTTGAAAAACAGCCTGCAGGTGTGCTAGGGCAATTAGGAGTCACATGGCCTACAGGGGCTGGGCTATCGGGATATAAGCTGGAGGTGGGCAGGCAGTCTACACCCAAAAGCTGTGGAGAGAGGAGCTTCTGAGAAATGTCTGAGCTATGGTAAGCAATGTTGATGGCTTGTAGAAAGGACTAAGGAGGTCCCAGAGAGAAAGCAGGGGCTAGAAGGCTTGGAAAGAGGGTAGAGGGCCAGAGGCTCTGGGGAGCAGGTAGAGCCAGGGTGCCTGTAGGTCTCACTACCTAGGAGTGGGGTCAGGGCTCAGGAAGAGCCAACAGCCAAGGGCCACAGCTGAAGGCTGGCAGGGCTTGAGAGCTCAGGGGTCTTAACTGGCCTAGGAGCAGGGCCAAGGTTCAAGTAGAAGAACTGAAGGCCAGGAGGGCCACAGCCAGGAACAGATGGGGCCAGAGTACCCATAGCTCAGAGAGGAGCTGCTGCAAGGATGAACAAAGCCAGGAGCCTGTAGGGGCAGATATGATTTGATCAGGGTGTGACACATCTGTGAGGCTTGACAGGGTGCACTGGAGACTATAGAGACCATGTACTTGGCCCTTAAGGTGAGGAACACGAACACCTGTGTTCATAAGAATGAGACCAGGCTTTGGAAGTCCTGGAGCAGCCTCCCTTTTCCTAAAAGATGATTAATATCAAGGCACAACAGGCAAGGAGAAGGAGAGATTGCCCAAAGATAGCAAAATGGACAGGGACTTCAGGGACATCATAGCCACGCCTGGAGCAGAACCCTATTACATGGACAAACAGGTCTCAAGGAGGTTGGGGGGGGAGGGGGGGAAACAGGAAATCAGTGATGTGAGGTGACAATAAGGGGAATAAACCTACTGTCTTCAATGATTAAGTCAGATTTCAAGGGCTCTCATTAGAAGCACATACATTAAATGTTTAAAATACCTTTTTTAGCCAAAAACTTTAATTTAAAGGTTCTAGGAGTATAACATGGCAGTCTAAAATTCTCTGGCTGCCTGCAACATGATGAATGCTACTTTATTTTCAACTCTTGTTCTCTTCTCTAATGCTAAACTAATCCCTTGCTCTTCTTTATTATGTGGCAGGACATTTTTACCTTTCCGAGGCTGGAAGGGGATTATCTGTTATGTTACTTTACTACTATTCCAGCTATGGTAGTGCCCTAGGAAAATTTAATTACTTAAGTTTTCCCCTCCCCACCACTCCTGTTGAAGGATGTGGCATTCTGATCAGTATAGCACTCACTTCAGGAAATATGCTAGATTCTGGTGTAAGGGCCCCACAAAGAGTCTGCTTTAGTGAACGGCCATGAACCATTAAAATATGATAAGCCATTTTATCTAAACTACCTATCTTTCCATTTAACCAGGGATGAAATAGTTGGAAAAACTAGAAATGGGGAAACATGGGCAACCACTAAGTCCTGTTATCTCTGAAAAGTCCCCATGTATTTTAATGTTTCAAGAAATTGTAGTTCTTCTGAGTGAGTAGCTAGCACAGACGCATTCAACAGCAGAAGAATAACACCTTGCTTTAGGAATAAAATAATCTTAAAAGAGCCATAAGGAAACAAACTAATTAAACAGGGTTACACAACACACGCCATTTCTTTTGCTGACTCCAAATCCATTGTAAACTGGTAATCATTAAGTCCCTGAAACCTGGCAAGAGAATTTTGTACTAAGAGCACAAAATCCTTCAATAAACATTAATCGGGGTTTTCTAGAACATGCATATTTGGTATAATATTATGAAGATGCAGCAACAGCAAGTCCTGCAGCTCATCTGGCTGCAATTATCAAAAATGATGGAAATGCAACAAAGCAGATAAGCAACCCTCAGAAATTCTGGCCAGATTTTCCAAGTCTCTCTTACTAGCATATGACAGTCCCCAGAAACGCACAGAATAACCAAAAAAGGCATATTTTGGAAATACCTCTTTTATAAACAGATTATTTCAGGGGCCAAACCACTCGGACAACTTGTCCTACCAGTCGGAGTCTGTGGGTCACCAAAAAAGTGCTGATCTAAGCCATAGTTGGATTAGCAATTAATTGAAATGCCTTCAAGGGATATCGGGGGGTGGGGGGGGGGGTAGTAATAAATCTGTCTGATCCTCCTACTGGAACATGAACAATGTATGTATGGTACTCAGAGGCTGACTGAACAAGAGTAGCTGCATACCTCCTTAAATGAATTTAAGTAAAGAAGTGAAGACTTCCTTGAAGTCCAGGGAACTCCCATATGAAGGCTTAATTTGCATGGTAAGTACTTACAGCCCTTCACAGCAGCCACTGTTATAGTACCACAGAGTTTTGTTGTTTTGGGAAGCCAAAAGGTGGAATCTTATACTTTAAACATTTTAAAAACTAGTAAAATATTAGAAATCCATACAGAATGACAGTGACACTTTGGAATTGAAACTATTTACTAATGACTAGACTGCAAGTTGAAGATCTCAGACTGCAAGTGTTTGCAATGGATATGAGACATTTACTTAAATGTTAGAAGAGAAAGTATGTTATGTGTTCAAGCAAAAGAGAAGGCAGAACTACAGTGAATGTAAGTGACCACTTTGAACACGTAGTCTAAGTATACGACAGCTAATTAACACTAAAGCTGTGAACACTTCTGAACACTTAAAATTCTGTTCCAGTTGCAAATATCTAGGATGCTTTCTTAATCCCCACCTCTTTGCAGGTCAGTTTTTAAAAGCTATTTTCACACTGAGTTGAGAATTGATAATAAAAAGCATTTCGGCTTAGATATTTATGAGGGAAAGCTCACCATATCAGGCAACAGAGTATGAGTTTTGGACCATAGTTTCACCGACTGCCAAAATACTTGTGGTCAGAAACCGTTTAGGAAAACATCAATCTTTAATGTAAGCCTCATTTTCACTACCAAGAATAGTGTAAAAACAAAACAAAAAACCCCCAATGAAACACTTTGCTACACTATTGAGGCTTTTGTCAGATTTTCCAAAAAAACCCCAGAGTAGTGGGAGCATTAGGACAGAACAAACAGCTAATAGCTTAATCAACATGTTCTCTGAACCTGCTCAAGACAGAAATCTAATTGATTGTACTTAAAACACCTGGGACCAGATCATAACAGGGCTTCTCCAATGCTAACTTATGCAGTGCAGAATATGTTTGCTGGTCAAGACAATACTCGGAACTCAGGTGAGTATACAAAACTTAAGAAGCGAGTCTAGTATGAGTAAAAAAGCAGATTAAGTGCGTTATTGTTGCAGAGCAAAAGTACCAGTTGGATGAATGGACTGTAAGGCAGACAGAAAACTGGTGGGCTCATCAGGCTCCAAGTGTAGTAGTCAATGGCTTGAAGTCTAGTTGGCAGCTGGTATCAAGTGGTGTGCCCCAGAGCTCGGTCCTAGGGCTGGTTTTGTTCAATATCTTGATCAACAATCTGGAAGATGGGATGGAGTGCACCCTTAGCAAGTTTGCAGATGACACCAAGTTGGGAGGAGTAGTGATTATGCTGGAGGGTAGGGCTAGGATTTAGGACAACCTTAACAAATCAGAGAATTGGACCAAAAGGAATGTCATGAGGTTCAATAAGGAGAAGTGTCAAAGTCCTGCACTTAGGATAGAACAAACCCATGCACTGGTACAGGCTGGGGACCAACTGGCTAAGCAGCAACTCTGTAGAAAAGGACCCTCAGATTACAGTGGCCAATAAGATGAATATGAGCTAACAGCGTGCTCTCATTGCCAAGAAGGCTAAAGGCATACTAGACTGTTAGTAGGAGCATTTCCAGTAGATCGAGGGAAGTGATTTTTTTTTTTTTTTTTCCCCCCCCCCACTCCTATTCAGCACTGATGAGGCCACATCTGGAGTACTGTGTTCAGTTTTGGGACCCAACTAGGGAAAGGAAGTGGAGAAATTGGAGAGGCCAGTGGAAGGCAAAGAAAATGGTTAGGGGGCTGACACATGACTTATGAGGAAAGGCTGAGGGAACTGGACTTCTCTAGTCTGGAGAAGAGTAGATTGGGGGGGGGGGCATGGATATTTTAACAGTAGCCTTCAACTTCCTGAAGTGGGGGGCCAAAGAGGATGAAGTAGACTGTGCTCAGTGGTGGCAGATGACAGAACAAGGAGCCAATGGTCTAAAGTTGCAGGTCTCAAGGGCAGTTTAGGTTAGGTATTGGGGGGGAAAAAAAATGTCTTGCAAGATGGGTAGTAAAGTAGTGGAACAGGTTACTTGGATGGTGGAATCTCTGTCCTTGGAGGTTTTTAAGACCTGGCTAGACAAAGCCTTGGCTGAAATGATATAGTTGGGGACTGTCCTGTTTCAAGCAAGGGGTTGGACTTCTTGAGGTCCCTTCCAACCCTAGTTTTCTATGATCTTAAGTAGAAAGGCATTCTGTTGTAACAATGAATTAAATTCATAACTTTGCATACCTTTCACATGCTGGATGTTGCTAACTGTATATTCAGAGACTATAGTTTTTTTGTACTTATGCTTTACAACATGCATCTTGCTTACCAAAGCCCAAGGTAAAGCAAAGTGAACTCAAGCATATTCCTGATTATGCATGTCTCTGATACTTGTATTGTAAATGTTCATTTAAGGATTTGTTGGGCTTTAGTTGCCCAGCTTGAAAGAAATTTTTAAAGGTAAAGTATTGCTTTCCATCTTATAAATTGGTCATTTGGTTAAAAATTGAACAAATGCACTAATTTACTATACTTTTGCAGATATTCAGTAGATGTAAACTTATTGGAAGATAACTTACAAAAAGAAAGCTGGGTTTATGCCAAATGCACACTGAGGCATGAAATATATAAAAAAACCTAAATATCATAAGCCTTACTTATAATACTAAGGAAGGGAAATGTTTTGGAAGGACATGATTGCTATCCAAATGATTTAGAACTTGAGAGAATTACTTGGAACTTGGGAGGGGGGCAAGTGTGGCCATTTTAAAGAAAGTGGTACCACACCCCTGTATCATCAAACGAAAAAAGCTTTAAAAGGAGACTTCCAGCTAAAAAAAGGTGCTTAAGACTACAGCAGAGGTCCTAGATCTGAATGTGATATTACTGAGAACAGTAAAGCACTCAGTGGAATCAATCAAAACAGGATCAGGCACTGAGTAAACAGACATTCACAGCATTTTGAAGTTTTGGTTTATACCTAAAAGCATCCTGTACACACATGCGCACAAATACACCCTTGCTTGCTTTCTCTAGATGAGGCACTTGACACTTCAGCTCAGTTTTCACTTGCAGTTAACATTTTATTGCTTCTTCTGTGTTAGTAAATTGCAGTCTATCTCCAGGGAAATATTTTCACAGCAGGTCCCCATCTGCGCAAAAAAAATACTTGCTTTCAGCTTTTTTTTTTTTTAAATCAGGTTTTGATATATGGTAGTCTATACAAGCAAACAAGGCTTCCTAAAGGCAGGTCTAGAAATCAATTTTAAAAGCCTCTTAGACAAATTTTATTTTGAAATATGTAATTACTTCAACTCATGCCTTTAATGCCTTTTGTTTCTAGTAAAGTCTACATCACAAAATTAAAATTTAAAACCTAAAGCAGTAGAGAGAGAAGCTACAGATGTACTAACTACAGTACTAAGATACCATTTGACAGATAATACTTTCATTTTCCTTACTCAGTTCCAAGTGTACACTTCCAATCTCTCCTGTGGATTATTCAATAGGACAATAACATGAAATTGTATTATTCAATAGGACAGTAACCTGCAAGGGGCTGCTTGAGACCCCTCCCCACCCACCCCACACACTGAGGAGCTGGGACCTGGGGGCAGCAGGTTGCGAGTGAGGAGCACTGGGTCCGGAATGGCCATCGTGCTTACAAATGGGTCCTGTTACAAAAAAGGTTGAGAACTGCTGGACTAAATGACCTCCTGTGGTCCCTTCCAACCCTAATTTTCTATGATTCTATGGTGTGAAAGTGCTTACTTAAGATTAAAAGAAGAAAGTAAATAGTACACTGCAACAAGATCATTTGCACCATTATAACTTCAGGAGTGTCATAAACAGTAACTTCAGACTACAGTTAAGTGTTGTAAATTAAATTCTAGGGCTCTCTCATGATACAGTAAGAGAAATTTAGTGCAAATTCATAAAATGGTCTATAATTATACAACTTGTAAAAATGCAGCACTGAAAGCTTCAAAACAATTCCTTCCCTTTCCAAGAGATGTTCTCTCTGAATAAAATACTAAATACATACACAAAAACTCCCCCTTTTGCTCCCCAGAAATTAGTCACCTTAAGTGGTGAAACTGTTTTTTCTGCTCAGAATAGAAGAGTGGACATGCTGTAAAAGTGGCAGCTGCTGCTTTTCCTTCTCTTCCCTTCAGCAGCTGCAAGGAGGCCAGTGGATGAGTTATGGGTAGGGGGCAGTGGTTTAGTACCTACTTTCATTCCAGTTCTACTCAAAACTTAGAACTAATAGTGGGGCAGCAGTACTGGTGTTTCTGTTCAGGCAGCGTTGAGAGAGTCTATTAACTTTGCAGCTCATTACAACTGTTCTTCATTCCACTGGTGTTAACCCTCATCTTTTCTATGATTTTGATATTCCACTAATCCAGCTATCCTTTCTTCAGCAATTTGGCTGTCTGTGGGCTACTCCTGGTCTCTCTTCTCCTATTTCACTGTCCTAAGACTTTTTCCAAAAACCCAGATCCACCCATTTAGTTCATTCTTCAGCAACAGCTACAGTTTCAGCTTTTGGTTGAGCTGTCAAGAGCTGCTGACAGTTCAGCTGTGAAAGGGTTAAAGCTGTAGGAAATGCAAGGTGAGCAAGCTGAAGATTAGGTTCTGTTCCATGCAGCCATAACTCTGGAAAACTCTCTCTTCATTCTGCCTTCCCAAAAACAAGGTGCATTAAGCTTGCAAGAGAGAACGGTATCTATTAATATCAGACTAGCATAATAATATATTTAAGTATCAGCCTAACAAAATAAAGGGACAATCATAAAGGCCTGGTTGTATGCATTTCAATACCAGAACAAAGCAGGGCAGGGCATCAACTAAACCTCTCTAATATCAGAACAGAGATGCACTAAAAACAGACTATACCTTTCTTCTTAGAAAAATAAAGTCTCTTGCTGTTTCATGTTCTAATTCATTACAAAATCTAATTTGTATAAAGTTCTGCACTTTACTAACTTAATTTATCAGTGTCCTTTTGTTCAGCAAATTAGTATGTGTCACACCTCTATTAAAAGTACTTCAATTGAGACTTTAATTCCACTTTTCCTTTAATGGAATTCTAAAGAGATTTTAAAATATAGCCTGTCTTATTCAAGCTATATGAAAACATGTGCCCATCAAAAAATGGTGGGGTAAGTTTTCCTACTCGGCTCCCTATATTTGGCTTCAGTCTTGAAGAAAAAAAAAAAATGTTGTGTTATGTTCTAAGAGTCAGTTTTAGGAAGTTGTGTGTAAGGAAACCAGATATAAACATAAAACATCTAGTCAATGGATGCAAAGAACAGCCATAGATCTTCACAAAATTAACTGTAAAAAAAAAAAAAAAATTGTAAAACAGAGGGGCAGTGAGGGTGGGATATAACAACATCCCTGACAACTGCTTCACAGTAAACTGTGATACATTCTTCAGAGTCTCAATTTTTGATTTTTAGAAAATGTCAATCTGGTTCTCGACGTTTCAACAACAGACTTTCACATGCAGGCAAATAGGGGGACTATAAGAATGTAGGTTAAACAAAGTGAGGTAAAATCCTTGCATACAGTCAGTGCACTCCCTCTCAATCTCATCACGTAGAGAAGAAACTGGTATTGTCTCTAGCCAAAGCAACTATTCTGTGATTATCACAGTAGCCCTTGAATTCACTAATGAATGCAGATGAAGTTTTTGGCTCCTGTGCTTTCCTTAGATACTAAGCATCAGTGCTTCACAGTGAGTCAACTCTGCATGGGAAGGCCCACTGGCCTGGACAAATCCAAACAAAAACCCCCAACAACAAGAAACCTTGCCTTTTGAATGCCATTCACATGTACATGGAGCTAAATGGTATCAGTTCTCCCTTTTACCAACTTGTCTGAGACCCACCTTAAAGATACCCAGACAAATTCACTGTGAAGCAGTTGTCAGGGATGTTATCCCACACTCGCTTCCCCTCTGTTTTAGGATTTTACAATTATCCTTGTGTAGTTCCCTTGCTAGCTTAATAAAAAAATAGCTTTCAATCTTCTGAAACTCAAGGCACCCCTTGCTTAATTCAAAGCACCCCTTAGAAAAGTGACAGCTCTTTGCTCTCTTTTTTTTTTTTTTCCTATGGAAAAAATGGTAAAATTTCTCTCTAGAGAAAAACTCAAAAAGCCTACAACATGTCCAGATGTCTTTTTACACTATGGATTCCCATATGAAACCCTTTGATCTCTTCTGAATCATGTGTAGGTGTTTGGCAGACAAGGTTCTTTGGGTAGATGTGATATCTTTTATTAGACCGACTAAATTATTGTCTGCCTATGTCCTTAGACCAACACAGCTACAACCAACAACCCTAAAGTGTAGGTGTTTGCACACCTGACTGCGCTAATATTACACAACACCATTAAAAGGAGCTCACAGAAAACCACCGAGTTAAAGGTTATGTATATAGGGAGAATTAAGAGGACATAATGAAAGGCTAGCATCCTTAGAGGATTATGTTGCAGTGCATGGTCCATGGCATGTTTACTGTTGCAATGACAAGGTATGTGGAGAACTAAAGCATACGTATCCATTAGATAGCTTAATTTCCCTGGGTTTTGCTGCTTTGTCATACATTGTATATAGTAACCTTAACTGTGCAGGAAGTCTTTTAATTGTGGTTGCAGCTTGGAGGTAGGAGTTATGAACAAACCATTCTCTGTTGAAGACAAGAAAAACAAACAAAGATGTAGAATAAGTCTTCAAAGGGAAGGTCTGTGCCCTCAAACTACAACCAGCAGGTTTGTGGGCAAGACACATGAAGAGAAGATGCAACTAAATCAATCCCACAAGTTCCAGATTTTTTATAACATCTGTGCACATGGTATTCCAGATGAATATGTGCATGTAATGGTATTTACGTTTTCTTTGTACTTTTTCTTCCCCCTCATTTCTTATAAAATGTTTCTCTCACTTTCTGCTTTGACTGCACACTGACCAGATACTTTTCACAGCGATCTCTGAAGCGGCAAGTCAGTCCTTTTCTTCATTAATACAGTTAATTTCAAATCCTTTCAGGTGTGTAAAATCCTTTCAGCAGTTTACAGTTCTTCTAAAAATGCATTACTTTGCAAGAGAATAGTTACCACATCTGAAACAAATTAGGTAGGACATTGACCTGTGTTTGGAAAAAAAACTGGCTGCGAGTCTGTCTGTTTCAACTAAACTAGTCTCAAAAGAAGAGCACTACCACTGGACTTAAATGCACAGCAATCCATGTCTGAAGGGGAAGAGACATTAAAATACAATAAAAAAAAGGTGGCCACGTGCTTGCAAGCTACAAGTATTTCTGACTGATGGAGTCACAATTCCTTATGTAAATGCTAGTCCTGGAAAGCCTTTGATCATGACCTCAAGGAACCAACGTGCTTTTTAACCAAGGTCACTCAGCCCCCGCTGCTGCATCACACTGCCTGTGGAGTTCCTCATGAGTCCGTGGAAAGCTCCACAGGCCACGGCTGTTGCTGGATCAGGCACGCAGAACAGCCCAGGGCTCAACCCGAGAGCATGGGGCTAGGCTGAGGCAGCGCAGGACCCTGCAGCCTAATTCCACCACACAGGGTCTGACTGGCCCACGGAGCAGCCCTGTACCACTCCTGTGGGCCTAGGAACGAAAGGGTTGAGTTATAACCTTTAACCCTGGTGTCGATGAGGTGAATAGGTGGGTCTCCCCTGCCCAGGTAGTCTGAATGCTGGTGCACACACACATCTTCTCCACTTCTGTAAGACAACCAACAGCCATCCCCTCCTTCCCCTGAAGTGCAGCCCATGCACAGGGGCACTCTAAGCCCCTTGCAGCTAATCCCATCCTTGGCTCTCAGGAGCCTGTACAAGTGCAATGGCTCTCAGTCTTTGTAGCCTCAAAGCACCCCCCTCCCCCATGAGTCTCCAGGCATCCCCAAACACCATCAGTTTCCACCCTTTTTTTTTTTGCACAAGAAGGCAGCAATTTGTCTGTTGCAAAGATCTGAGAGAGGCAGCAGCGGGGGCTTTTGAACACTAGATTCCTGCTTAAAATCGCTGGGATTATATTGTGTGACACCCGCATACTTCACAGGCTGGTGTCTCTTAACCCCATGAGAGGATGCCCTCCCGTGCTGGCATCTGCACAGGAGGGTGGCAGCCGTCTCGCATGCCTCCGCAGGATCTTGGGGCACCCTGAGGGGCTGCAGCTCCCTGGCTGAGAAACCAGGGGGGAGCCGACCCCCCGACTGCTCGGGGTGGGGAGTCCATTCCGCGGCCAAGCCCCGCCCCCCCTCGTCGCTGCCCCGCGGGGGGCGGAGCTTGGCCGGAGCCGCGCAACTGCCCAACGGAACGCCCCGCCCACGGGGGCCCGGGCTGGGGGGAGGGGCCGGTCAGTACCTGCATGACCACGTCGGCGGGCAGCTGCGCGGCGCGGAAGAGCTCGAGCACGCGCCCGTTGGACGCCACCTTCTTGGTGCTCTCCGTGTCGCAGTAGGAGAAGAGGTCGCAGTAGTAGCGCTGCTCCGCCTCGCTCAGCGTCAGGCCTTCCATCGTCCGCCCCGGCCGCCGGGGAGGGCAGAGCCCGGGC